CATTGGAACAGGCTGCCCAGGGAAGTGGTTGAGTCACCATCCCTGGAGGTATTGAAAAGATGTGTAGACGTGGCACTCAGGGACATGGTTTAGTGGTGGACTTGGTAATGTTAGGTTAATGGTTGGACTCGATGATCTTTAAGGTCTTTTCCAACCTAAATGGTTCTATGATTCTATGACTCATCTACCACATTCTAGTTAACCAGAAGTAGTACTGATATATCTTCCAAATATATAAATATTTATTACTTCATAATAAAAAGTATTACAGGGAACATAATGCAACCGAAACTGAAATCTCACTATTTCAGATATATATCAACTATACTTATCATCTGAAAATTATCTCAACAGTCACAGTCTGCCATGACAATGGTAATTCAACAGAGAGATCATGTAGCCGTCAGACTGGACAATCTCATATGACTGCAGACAAAGACTTGTACTTTAGTGGGCTTCATCCCAACATTTGTATTTACCAGACTCCTGGTAATACTCCAGAACACTTCTTATTTTTGGCGATTAAACTTCACCAACCGTACTCTAGTATGAATCATATGGTTCTATTTCTCTGTGATTTGAATGTCTGTTTCTCAAATGAGTTTAAACATTATCCTGCTCGCTAAATTCAGGAGAAATGAAACAGTACAAGAAAACACACAGCTTTTTTCCCAGACCTATGTCTTAAAAAACAGACATTACAACTGCTAACAACACTACTGAACTGGCTGATTTAGTTTGCACTGTCCCTTACTTGCAGCTCACAATAAGCAAACATCTGCGTAATAATGACAGACCACTCAAGACTATCAAAAGAGAGCTTTGCTGTGGTATCAGTGAACTGGGAAGAAAACTCTTTTATCCTTTCCATCCAGTTTTCAGAAGACTTCAAAGAGCAAACATCATACAACACCAGTCCCCTAGCCAACTCAGTCACGTATTTTTGCCCTGCCCTTCAAATTAATCAGTGATACTAGTTTTTCCTTCTAAGTCATAGAAAAGTAATCATTAAAATCAGCTCCGCAATGTGAATGACAGTGTGAGACCAAGTAGGTGCCAATTCATGGCCTAGCCTAAGAATCTTCACTCCTTCTGTATAACCTTTCACAAAGTGCTCTCCTCAAAGTTCTCAAAGTCACCATCTGTCATTGCTCTATTTCTGTCAGTAATTACAGTAAATTACCAACTGATATGAAGATTATCAAAATTCTGATATTACCTATTACTACTGTTTAACAAAGTCCTAGCTGCATGTACATCCTGTCAGCGTATGTGCTTAC